AATATATTCAGAATACAGATGTTTTTACTATACTAAACAACATGAAACGATTCATTTTTGTATTGATTCGTAATCTTATGTTGAGGTCATGAGTGCATATCTGCAAGAATGCTGATATTTGAGCTCTTTTCCGAGAGATAATCTTTTTATTTCAGTCTGCTTGATCTTATTATCTTTCTGTTTCTTATCAATCTATTGTGACAATAGGCATTTTATTGTCCATACACAAAAACATATCAGATTAAAATAATTAGGAATAGGAAAAGAACTGCTATTCTATATTTTACTACTCGTCATCTGAATCTGTTTCTTCACTGTCAGATTGTAAATGTGGTTCGATATTTTCTTCCATAATTGCATCCGTTGTTTTGAACATTTCTTCAATTCCACGAACATGATGAAAATACGAAGTTGCACGTTTATCATCCATCGCCACCATAAACTGTTCAATCAGTTGTTTTACATCATCCTGACGAAACGTCGTGTTTTGATCACGAACAAATTGCTTCAGATTATTCCATGATAATTCAATAGGATTGAGGCTACAGTGTAGTTTTGGAAGACGAAATATTTCTATACCATATTTCTTTCCGATACGATCACTCTATTCAACGAAACAATGAAGGACAGCTGAGTTCTGAAAACTGGAAATAACTCTTAAAAATGACTCACAATATATTCTTTAGGTGGACAATTAGCACCCACTAGTTGTAACAATTGAGCTTTAACAAATTTTTCCGAAAAATTAATTTTTCTATCTTTCAACCATTGTTGGATTTCTCCTTTTGTTGAAGCACGTTTCGGAATGACTGATTCTTCTGTGAGTTTGTTGTGCCAAGTCGCGTTGTCTAGACAAATAGCAATTCTTTCTTTTTCGCCTATGAAGAGGATATCAGAAATTATTCATGAAAAACACGACTCAAAATATATCAGCTTACCAATCTCTTCTCTTAACGTTGCGCAAGTCGAATCTAACCATGTGAGAAAATGAGTTGAATCCATATTATGCTCTTCGGTGCATGTCCAAATATCAACTGATGGAATGTGATAACCCTTAACGTCTATCAGTGCTGATACTGCCAGACGAGATCCTGTAAACAAGACAAATAATGACATGTAAAAGAAGAATTTACGGCTGAAGTCATGGCTTACCTCTCCCTCCACCTTTTTTTATCTCACCTTCGCCATCTAAAGTCCAAATCGATCGTTTAACTTCTCGAAGATTTATCCAAGTTTCATCATGATAGTACAAATGAACGTTAGCTTCTGTGAACTCTTCCAGGGTCTGAAAATATTTCGCTCTTGCTGCAACAAAAGCCTGTGAATCCAATGCAATTTTTATTTTTGATGTTCGTTGATAGACGAAACCAAGCTGAAAAATAGTAAAAGGCGGTGTGTTGTTTTTCTTTCTTTTTTGTCTACGTGAAAATAATATTTCACTTACATTTCTCATTTTTCTACGCAACGTACTTGTCGAACGAATAGGAAAATCTTCATATTGCTCTGTCAACCTTTTCAGCAATTTTTCCGAAGTTGGATACACTTTTTCTTGAATTAGTTTATGAAATTCAAGTCTAATCAAATCTTTTCCTTGCTCAGATAAAACGATGTTCGGATGACCAGAATGCACTGAAACGAGAAGAGCTAACTTTGAAAATATTTAAGTGAAAAATCTCTTACTTTTCTTCTGAGGAAGCAATGCTTGAGGAACAAGATGGTCGATATGATTTGTTGATGAATAGACAGAAGACACAGTATGCCGACGACAAAGAATTTTAGCTGATGCATTAGACGTTGAATATTGATGTTCGTTAAGTGTTGGATATACGATAGTGCGACTACGAAGATTTCTCACAATTGCCTCTGCTTTCCTTCTCTCTTCTATCTTTTGTTGTTCCTCTGATATTTTCTTTATTTCTTTACACCTTGAATGGTGTAACTCATGCGTTAATCTGTACACTGATCTTTCCGAGATATTTAACATTTTAACAAGACGATCTTTCACATTATAAAGAGGAATGATTGGACCACTTTTCTCACTTTCAACAAAATCAATAATATGAAACATTAGCTGTTTCACTTCTTCTGAAAATTCATGACCTGTCGGCATTGTAATCAAATAGATTATCTATAAAAGATGGCAAGTGCAATTCGAACATAAAAAGAAAAAAATGACCGAGAGAACCATCGCATACATATATATTACTATTTTTTCTTTCTTTTCTCTATACTGTCATTACATACCGACATACACATACTCAGAGAGTGACTAAGCAGTTTACATGTAAGATTTGAAAAAGAATAAACTCTTTCATGTTGTTTAGTATAGTAAAAACATCTGTATTCTGAATATATT